GAGTGCTCTGGCAACACGCTCCTTGCCCTGTTTTCTATTCGTAATGATGATGATAATGACATATTGCAGCGTTCGTAACGGCTGTTTCATGTTTTAAATACATTAACTACCATACCCTTCGAGTCAAGGAAGGGACAAAATATTCACCGTTTTAACAGCTGTCCACGAAAAGTTTTTCTGCCACATCTAAATATCAAAATCACATTTATGCTCAATGAGTTACGTGGCTTCAGATATCTGCGGTAATGTTTTACCTGAATGCACCATTAGTGGAAATTTCATGTGCTCGTCACAAATCTGACCTAAGCATTATGCCATCAAAAATAACCTATTTAGGATAAGGACGTTTAAACAAAAGTCATGGACGGAAGCTCAATATCACCGTTCATATCAATGCTCCAACAGTGCCTGATAAATGTTTCGTCACATCGTTACTGTTTAACCTGAGGGTACCTACTCATCAGCCATACAGACAGAAAACCGACTCAATCACTAATAGATTATATCAAAAAATGGATATGATGGCGAAAATATATGGTCTTTCATGCCCGTTTATCCTGCATGGCCTAGGAAATGAAGTGCAACAGCGTCACTCAAACGTGTCTGTACCGTCGGCATCGTCACGAGCCTTAATATTGGGTATCTCTGAGTAACACAATCACCAGCATATAATCCAAGGATGGAACCTCTGGCATCGAACACATGAACTGGTGTAAACGATGTCCGACTGATCAGATAACTTGCCTTAGACGAAAATAAACCGTGTTTCGTGCTGCTTCCGGTGTGACCACCAAGCATGAACCAAATACTTGTGTTACACGATCTAATAACTTTTCACAATCTGGTCGAAAGGCCTCAAACCCTAGAAAAATCGCGATGGCCCTAATTGCTCACACCTCGAAACAAAAAGATACCACAAATCGCCATACTTAACGAAATACCAAACTAAAACTATAAGGTCGTTCGTTGCACCGACGTACCGAATGTTGCTACGTATCTGTTTATCACGTCAATCATACAAGACCAGGGTTGCACGATGAAACTCTGCGTCATTCTCAGTGAGCCGAACATTTCCCGAACGACTCGTTAACCCGTCCATGATATAACGATGCGGAATTACAAACTATGAAATAACAAGCTAATAAAGCTGTTGAGAGGGAAGATCACCAGGAAGCAGATGAGGATGGTGATAACGTGGTTATACAGCATACAACAATAATATATTTGTGAAGTGAAACGTCAGGAAGTGTTTCGCATCATCATAATCATCATAAGTTTGAGAAAAACGCGTCCGTTAGTTTGTGATTCTTATCCATTTTGAAGGAACGAACTTTTCTTGTGATCGACCTAGAGGTCTATGGACCGTTAGCTCTCTTTCGGAAGCCAGTCACTATATTCGCTATGACTCAGCGATGGCCGGCTTTTCTCGAAACGTGTCTTGCATATCGCCACCGCAACCACTTCACCTCTTTAATGACGTCACAAACTCCTGTTTCTCTTCTTACCTCTTCGCCCGTCTCCCTATATATTCGTATAATTTCTAACATACACCTTTTCATGGCGTGTTGCATAGTCTAAGTTTATGCACACATATTTTTATCACTGGGAACAGGGACCAGTGGAGAACTTTCGCTTCAAACACATGGCAGTTTCCCGGATAAGAACACCTTCGGTCTTTCAGAAGTGCTGTATAAAATTATTACCGTACCACACTCGGTTATCTGCTGCAGCATTTCTTATATTCAACAACAGACAGGAAGGCACAACGAACTCGTTTGATTCAGAAGCTGACGACGCTTATTGCATAAATGTAGCAGATTCTTTATGATCATAAACTAAAGCTTGCTTAGAGGGAGCTCGTGACCGCCAGAAGCAAGGGGACGACGCGGTTCGCCTGCAAACACAGTGAAAAAGGATGCGCATTTTTTTATTCTCACAGGTGGTCTGAAAATGATTCTTGGTAAATTTCAATTTTCCATGAGTAGAACCGCGTGTGATGTTATTTGTGCTTGATGGCGTTGAGGACTGGGTCCTTCGGCACACAGAAACTCGGAGGAACCGTCAAACTTGTGCCATAGTTCACTGAAGCTTGTCAACAAGTATTTTCAAGCGTTCAACTGAACAGCTTGTCAAACCTTGTTTTCATCGGCTGTATGGCCGTGAAATAAACAAAACACATAGTTGCCCCAATCGCGATCGCCTGTTGCATAAGCTTAATAGTAGAAATTATTAACTAGTGGATTGTTAGATTATCTTCCACCCGGCAACGAACAAAAACCGACTCAACCCATCCAAGTCCACTGGCATCATGCACAGCTGCAGAAACCGCCGACGCAAAGCGTTAGGCGTTAGGCCAGCTGCCAGTTTGGCGACGTGCGTCAGCGGAGCAGATCGGACGGGACGTTCGACACGGCAAGCTTAAGTTCTAGTTCTCAAGTCACACTCTAGTTGTTGTTTTTACACATCTTCTTCGGCAGGTGAAGTTCTAGGACGACAGACAAACCCAAGGATACCTAGACTCTTTCAGAACGATTTCTTGCCCTCCATGAAGGCCGTTACGTGGTAGAACCTTTTAAGTTCGCGAACGACCACATTTCGTAGCAATCATTGCTTTAAACGCTTTACCCAACATTCTTATACAAGGCGATGGGTTCTCTTGTCTAGCAGCAGTGCCACGGTCAAAGCGAAATAAGTGCGATATTGCAATGATTTTGTTGCTGTGATATCCCTAGCAATAAATATACTGTTAGAATCTGATAAAGACCGACATTCTAGCCCTGTAAAATCAGCTGCTAAGAGAAAAGGGCTGAAACTCCGATGTCAGCTTTCACCTGATAGAGCTATACACTGCCTAAATTGTGCTGTCATTTTAACAAGATTAAATCTCTACGAAATGTGGCTAAGAAAGTTCTAAAAACTTGATATTAATCGTACCGCATATTCATCTTTACAGTTAACTACTCCTCGTGGGTCGCAAGATCGGCATCTTCAGGGTGTGAATCCAGTGATCGCAATTTTCTGTCATTTAAACAAGTTTCGTACGGCCCATTCGAAAGTGAAACTTCCAAATAGCGGTCATGCAAATTTCTAGAGCATTGCATTTCCCCAAGTGGCCAATGTGAACGAAGAGTGCGTCCAGTGTGACGTGTAGTTGGCTTCCGCGCAAAAGTAATATCAGAGACTATATAGCATATACTTGCAACCTTTCTATCTGTGTCAAGTTCCAAAACGTCTCATGCGGATCTGCGAAGAACGATACTACACCGTCATCGGTATTCGTTTGTCCGTCCATTATAAACTTAGAGGTAAAGAACTTCAGCCAGTCCAGTATGTGATACCCCGCCAAGAACAATGTTGAACAACAACTCAACAGGGCTAACACCACTAACCCGTGCCGAGGATCACACCGGGTAGTCATCAATCAGGTGGAGCAACGAGAATTGCAGTCCTAAGAAGCCTCGCACTAAACGGCACAGCCGCCACTCTCATCGTTCTAGACCATGCGTACCACGTAGTCGCTACTTTTCTCAAGTCTTTGCAACGACTTGCTACCCGTTTTTCAGCTGGCTTCCCTCAGCAACGTCGAGTGAGTTCCATGCTTTAGAGAATTAGCGGTTAAGAGAATTATTTCAGAATTCGAACATGAAATCTGCGTAAATCGAAACCTCCCCTTACCACTGTGCCTGCCACGAGGTCCCAAAGCAGATGTCGCAGCCATGATTGCTCGGAGGGTCAAAGAAATTCTTTAAAGTACCTGAGTGCAAATGAAGACAATTCATGAAGCACACGGTAAACATGATTTACTGTCATCATATATTCAGGTTCAGCCATAGTCGAACGTCACTTCCCGTAATGACGAAAGATCTTTTGCCATGCTGCGCATGCGGATAAATAGGAACAGACGATTAATCCATCTGTTAGGGTTTGCAGTCTATCTGTCAGGTAGATCGATTTATTTATGTGGCTTTGGTAAAGACCTAACTTTCGGCGTTCATGGAAGATGCTCAAAAGGGCAATCTTTCCACGGTTACACCTTCCCTGATTTCTCAAACTGAACAGTCATCTAAGCGGGCAGTTTTTCGGCTTGCTGCACCACCCCCTAACGTGGGGTAACCAAGTAGCGAAACAGGCAGTCACTGCTCTAAATTTGTACCCTGTACGTTCAGAGTTCGAAGCTGATACTTATTTCCACTGCGCCTCCCATGTCTTTTCAATTGCACTATTGAAGAACTAATGCTCTGAATGCAACTGTAAGCTACTATGGAACGAAAACAGTCAAAATTGGGGTTACACCTTGTGCTTACTGACTGCACCGAAGCAACGTCAGGGCAATTTATTGTTCAATGGAATTCGCTGCTAAGGCAAAGATTGTCCGTTGAAAGGAATCCGGTACCACCTGAGTTAAATAATCGATCTCTTAGCCACCGCCACAACGTCAGCCACGCTAACCATGCCATCTAGTTGCCGATCACTACCTGCTCTTCGCAATATTCGTACTGAAATGAGATTTATTAACCACCTTATGAATGGGAAAAAAAGGAAAAACACGAGGATGAACATAAAGTTCTATTTCCGTCCCTCTGACTGCTTTAGATGACACAGATACCGAACAACGACGACAGCAGGTACACGAGTAGAATAGACATAACGTAGAAACCCACCACTCTGGTCTACTGCGCGGAATGTTCATTCACTACGCTGCTACACAATTAGTCATCATAAGAAGGTAACCACGTTCCTTGGTTGAGGCAGTCACGTGCCTGCAAACATAGTACACTAAATAACCAATAGACTCGGTGACCAATAACCTAGGCGCGGCTG